CAGACAGACAGACACACACACGCGCACACACACACTCTCTCTCGCATTCTCACGCATGCACACAGATACGCAGACACAGACACACACACACACACACACACAGACACATACACACACACCTCCTTTGGTGGGGCGGGTGGAGGCAACCAGTAATCGCCGTCCTTGATTTCGGTGTGCACGGAAGCGCCGGCTTTGAGCAACATCTCGGCAACTTGGAGTCGACCCCTGCCAATGGCGAAATGCAGGGCTTCGTTTGGGTCCTCACCGCGCACCAACAACCGCTCCACGCGATCCAGGTCGTTCTTCTCTGCTGCAGTCACCAGTTTCGGCTGCGCCTGCCACTCAAAGTCTGGTCCGCAGCGGGTTGGCCTGGAGGGCTTTGCGTCCTTCTTCTCCTTGGCGCTTGCTGGCTTCTTCTTCTTTGCGGGCATGGTGAACGCGGCGTGATGGCGACCAACACTGGCAGCTAACGACGGCGGTGGCGTTCAACGGCGGTGGCGATCAACGACGATGGGTGACGAGAGCGTCAACGGGAGCAACAACCGGTTCTCCTTTTGTGTCCCCCTTGTGAGGTGGCTGGTCGTTGTGGCGTTGCGTCTTCTCCCTTTACTCCTCGCTCGCGGTCTCTCCTCTTGACAGCTCTTTCACCGCTTGCTTGGTGTGTGGCCTCTTCACCACAGCTAGCTGCCTGCACACGTTGCTGTCTCACTGTCCGACTTGTTGTGTGTTTGTTTGCTCGTTCGTTCTGCTGGTTGTCTTGGCTCTTTGCTGGGTTGGTTGGCGAAGTTGTTTGTGATGACGGGTTCGTTTTCGGGAGTTGTGGGCAACTGTGAGCGTCGCCAGGCAAAAGCGGAGGCTGACAAGGGCGATTCACAAATTGTGCATCGAATCATAAGCACCAGCCATAAGCACCAGCCAACAAGATCCTTCGATTGGATGATTCTTTAACGAATCAATTCGTAACGCGCATTCCAAGCACGCCATCGTGCTGCGTTTGATGCCTGCAAGCTCCCACTTGTCGCTTGTCGCTGATGCTTGTCGCTGATGCCTGCCGCCTCTCATTCTTTCCACACCGAGCAAGCAAGCAAGCAAGGAAGCAAGCAAGCAAGCAAGCAAGGGAGCAGCAACCTGTGACAGAGACAGGGAAGGGAAGCAAGCAGACTCAAGAGGCAACAAGCTAACAAGATACACAACCAGCTCCTCAGTAGCAGCAACTTTCCAGCAACAATACACAACAGCTTGAGTGCACCGCTGCGTCGCTGTACTTGGAGGATCAGCCATGGCGTGTGAAACGTTTTCCAGGGCACTGTGGTGTGTGCTCGTGCTGTTGACGTCGGTGGTGTTGACGTTGGCGTTTGTGACGTCGTATTGGGTGGAGACCAAGTCGTCCGTCCTGGCCCTGGGCTACGACAGCATCTCCCTCGGCCTCGTCTACGCATGTTTGCAGCGCGTTGGTTTCGAGGAAACCTGTGGCCAATACGGTACGAGCCAATAACGATGAAGAGGGTGGGGTGAGGGGGCGAAGCGCGACTGACTGCGACTGTTTTTTTTTTTTTTTTGTTTAAGTTCATTGTGTGCTTTGGCTGGGTGTTGAGTGGATGGTGTCTCGATTCCGCTTGCTCAAGCACGCCTCGATGCTCGTGCGCTCACTCTAGCAAGCACCATAACACACACACACACAATCACACACCTCGTCAGGCACTGGGTTGCAAGACATCCCTGTGACGTCCTGGAGGTCAGCAGCGTTGTTCTACGGCACAGGCTTGTTCTTGGCATGGCTCACGTTCCTGTTGACGCTGATCAGCTTTGTCAAGCCTTCCTTCAAGCCAGCACTGCGTCACCTCATGATGGGAGCATGTGAGTACTGGAACACTTCAGGTTCTTAGGTTGTCTGCTGTGCGAGTGGGACAGTGAATCAAGCACTGAGCAAGGGGATGAAGGCTGGACCGTCGTTGTTTGCGGAGAGATGGCAATTTGCTCAGCTGCCCTCACATCACCCATTGTGGACTCACACTGCCAGTCGCCACGTGTTCAAACTCACCATCTGCGTCTTAACACGCCATCCCTATGTCCTGCGCCTTCTCCCTCATCCCCTTCCCTGCAGTTTGGTTGATTGTGCTTGGGCTCTTCATCTTTGGAGCGAGTATTGGGGAGCTGAAATATCATCCAAACGCCAGCATCTTCCAGCCCTGTGAGGGTGCAGGCGCCTTCAAGCCGGGCTCGGCGTGCTTGCTCGGCGACTCCGGCGTCATTGGTAAGTCCACACGCAAGTGGGTGTGGGAGGGGAGGAGGAGGGAGAGGGAGACAGCAGCCTTCTAGTCTTTACAGTCTAGTGGAAGCGCAGATGAATCCGAGGAAGGAATTCAGCACTGGGAAAAGAGAGGAAGGAAGAGGGATTCAGGTGCATGCATTCTTGTCTGCATGCAACGCGTCGTGCGCGCACGTTTCTTCTGCTTGGCTCGTTGACTCGCTTCCTTTTTTCACACATTCGTTGCTTCACTTGCGTGTGCGCAGCGTGCGTCGGTATGGGCCTGTGCTTGGTGTCAGCGTCGGCCGGCTACTTCCTGGACACTGACGTGCCGGATCACAACGAACAGGAGGAGCAAGAAGCGGCGCAACGGAAGCTCTCTGCCTAATTTCTCCAGGAGAGCCATCGAGATGCAATGCATGACCGACAATCCTCTAGTCCTCTATCACGCCGTCGCATCGTGTCGCATGCACAGCTCGCATAACTTCATCGACGCTCGCGCATGTGTGCGGCATCTCCTTTCCCAGTAAAAGTATCAGCCCTTTTGCGCAGCAGCACTAGCACTCGAGTGCCTACCCAACAACCACACACACACACACTCTCTCTCTTTCTTTGTCGTTTCGGATCAGACTTATCCCAAGGCGATGGACATTTATGGGTGCAATTCGGGGAGGGGAGAAAAGAGCATCCACTCGCACAGTGAGGAAAGGCGCAGAAGCACGAGAAGAAAGGGACAAAAGCCAGGACAAGCACTGCCCTTGCTTGGGAGAGGAAGCACTCAGGCAGAGGGCAGCGACGGACGGCAAAGATGACACGGGCCATGAAATGGCAACAGCGCCAAATGCCGTTGACGCGCCCACAACATGCGAAACGCAGAGGTCCGCACCAACCAAAAACCACTCAACCAAACCAGAGACAGGCACGCCCCTGCTTTGGACCCCAACTTCCACACCACCGCATTGGCTGACGACGTACACAGGAATATGCAACAACGAGAGAGACAAGGGATATGCAACAACGAGACGAAGATGCTTTGATCAACGCCTTTATGCCTCCTGCTTCTCGTCGAACCTGTAGGTCAGACCGCACTTGCCGCACGTCTGGCGGTCAAAGTGGGCAGCCATGAAGACACCAGCACCGCACTCCTCAGAGGGGCACTCGCGGAGCAGACGGGTAACCTTGCCAGAGCCATCAACCTTGTAGTACTTGAGGGCAGCCAGCTTGACCTGTATGTGGGAAACAAAAAAAGGCGTGTGAGAAGGCGTGGTAGTCGTAGTCGTAGTGGTGGTGGTGGTCGTGGTCGTGACGATGATGAGGTTGGGTGGTGGTGTGGGTACAACAATAACATCCATCATCAATGGCCAATAAACGCCGACAAAAACACGCATCTGCCTGTCACTTCTCAGCCCTCACAGTCACAGTCTCACACACGCACACAAACGTACGGTCTTGTGCTTGTGCTTGATCTTCTTGGGGGTGGTGTAGTTCTTCTTTTTGCGCTTCTTGCCACCACCACGCAGGCGGAGCACAAGGTGCAGTGTGGACTCCTGAATGCAACACAGCCGACGCGACAAGCAACAGCAGCAAGGTCGTGAGTCAGTCAGCCATGAAGCCCGACACGCAAGAAGACAAGCAGGAAATGTGCACAGGAAAAGTTACAGCCACATCTGGCACAAAGAAAACCACGCAAACGCACGCACTTGCACAATGTGCACGCGCTGCGAGTTGCGCACCTTCTGGATGTTGTAGTCGCTCAGGGTGCGGCCATCCTCGAGCTGCTTACCGGCGAAGATAAGGCGCTGCTGATCAGGGGGGATACCTGAGAAGTGTTACACCAAGCAAGAAAAACGAGAGCGGGTGAGTGCAACAAAGGGACGCATACGTTGTGGTGCATATTGGCGGTGGTGACTGTCGCGTAGGTGCATTGCTGTGACGGGAATGTGCAAGGCGAGTATGCGGCCACAAAAGCACGTGCCCGGCAATGTCTTCTTCCATCTCATCGCCGTACGGTCGACGTTGACAAGTCACGCTAATGCCGTTATCTCCATCCATCATGAAACACACGCCACACAGTCGCTGTCACCACGCCACAGTTGCAGCAGCAGGAAATGCTGGGGTTGTATGCACTCGTGTGTCCGCACACGTGTGGTTGCGGTTGTTGCTGTTGCTGTTGTGGTTGCAATGTGCCATGGTTGCTCTTCAAGCTGTGTCTGCTTCGCCCACCACTGTCACACCAGTCGCAGTACGCAGCACAAGGCAAGGGCAGAGGGGTCAGTCAACGCACCCTCCTTGTCCTGGATCTTGGCCTTGACGTTCTCGATCGAGTCGGAGGGCTCGACCTCGAGGGTGATGGTCTTGCCCGTGAGGGTCTTCACAAAGATCTGCATGGTTGGTGCTCTGTGTTGTGGTGGACGGCAGCAACCAAGCCAAGCACAAGCACACAAGACAGCAACGCGCACGTGAGCATGGTTGTCTGGTGTGTTGTTGATAATACGCATGTGTTACATGCATGTGCACATGTGTGTTTGTGTGTGTTGGTTGGTTGATAAGTGTGCGGCACGCATGCGCACCATCGTCCTTGTTCCACCACACCCACCCACACACCCACACACACCGACACAACAGCCACAGCGACAGCCACAGTGACAGGGTGCATTGTGTCATGAGCCATGTGCTAGTCAGCACACTGTTCATACCATCTCCATCTCCATCTGGCTCAGACACCACACCACCACCCTCATTCCCACACACACGCGTTCTTGCCCTTCATCAGCTCGCATGAGCCAGCCATCTGCTCACCTCGCCTCAGGAGAAGAAGATCGATAAAGAAAAGGCACACTGCGTGCGCCTTCGCCAAGAGCATTTGCAACGCTGCCAACAAATCAGCACGCAGTGCATCCATTTTCCCTGGTATTTCCACTATTTGTTTCCATTTCAGGGAAAAGGGCATATTCGTGCATACGCCTCAAATATGAGATTTTGCTCATTTCAACCACAATGGAGATTATACTTCATTTGAGCAAGAAATCGGGCGCCTCGTCCACCCGCAACATGGAAAGGGAGGATTTGCTGAAGATTTCCTCGTATAATCAGCACCACCTACAGTCCAGTTCACCACGTTGCGCGAAGCCAACCAGTACTTCTTTGAGCTGCTTGCTTGCTGGAGCTGGTGGGCAAGCAAGCTGACCTGGACAGTTGTGTGTTGAATGCTGCCGTGTCCGCCCTCCTCGGCCTTCTGACTTGTGTTGCGGATTCACACACACACAGACAACAACAACAACAACAACAACAACAACAGCTGCCGCCCTCGCTTCGCTGGCTCCAGTCTGGCGCGTGTGTGAGAAACTGACACACATCGAGCAGCCGAGCACCTGAACAACTGAGGGGCTGCCTTGGTTTGCCATTTACATTCGACTCCTGCAACCAACCAACCAACCGACCGATACCAGGTTTTGTGGAGTAGGATCATGTATGTGGAAGGCGGTGCAGGGCACGGCTGCGTCCACTACCAGCGTCATTGTCAAATCCTGGTGCGTTCTCCGTCTGTGCGTGTACATGTGAATGTACATCGGTGTGCATCTGTGAATGTGCATCTGCGAATGTGGGGGAGAGAGACTGTGTGTGCGCGCGTGTGAATCTGTGTGTGTGTGAGTGTGTGTGTGTGTGTGATGCTCTCCTGTGTCGTTGACGTGTTGCTGACTCCACCCCCACCCCTATCTCTGTGTCTGCCTGCTCCGACAGTCGCCGTGCTGCCAGCGATACTTGCCGTGTCGCCGGTGCCATGACGATGAGGATCAAGACGGTGGCTGTGGCCAACAGCTGAACCGTCGCAAAGTGACGCGATTACGCTGCTCTGCCTGTGGATTGGAACAGCTGGTTCGTATCTCTGTGTCCATGCGGTTGCATGCGTGGTTGTTTGTACATTTGGTTTTGTTTTGCTTCTTCTGCTGTGCTTGTGTTGGGGGGGGGGGTCACAAGGGGTTTGGTGTGCCACCTCTCATCAGGCATGTGTGTGTGTGTGTGTGTGTGTGTGTGTGTGTGTGTGTGTGTGTGTGTGTGTGTGTGTGTAAAAACACGACGTGTCGCGACAGGTGGGCGAGGCGTGTATGCGATGTGGGCAGAGGTTCGGCAACTACTTCTGCGCGATATGCAGGTTCTTTGATGACGACACAGCCAAGCAGCAGTACCACTGTACACGCTGTGGCATCTGTCGTGTCGGTGGTCGGCACAACTTCAAACACTGCGACCGCTGCTGTGTCTGCTACTCCAGGGAGCGCTTTGCATCGCACGTCGTGAGTCTGCTGTTTCCCTTCGTTTGCGTTTGTGCGTGTGTGTGTGTGCTTGTCTGTTTTGTGTGCGTGTGTGTGTGCTTGTCTGTTTTGTGTGTGTGTGTGTGTGTGTGTGTTCTTCTCTCTCTCTCTCTCTCTCTCTCTCTCTCTCTCTCTCTCTCTCTCTCTCTCTCTCTCTGTGTGTGTGTGTGTGTGTGTGTTCATGCTTGTCTCCGTTGCGCTTGCAAGCTCATGCTGTTGCCTTTGGGTTGCTTGCCTGTTCTGTGCTGCCACACGTCGGATTTCGCTTCGCAGTGCGTCGAAGAAGCTGCTGGTGAGTCCTACACCTGACACCCCCCCCCCTCTTGCATTGTCCGTGGTGCTGTTGTTGCCGCTCATCTGCTTGCACACGCTGGCACTCACGCCGACGCCTTCATGTATGTATGTGCTGTTGTTCTCCATGTCCCCCCCCCCCCCCGTTTTCAGATCGCAACTGCCCCGTCTGCTTGGAGGTGAGCTCGTCGTTTGCCCGCTGATTCGTTGCGCAGCATCGTACACAGAGAGAGGGACAGAGAGAGGGACACACAGAGAGAGAGAGAGAGAGAGAGAGAGAGAGAGAGAGAGACGGAGAGAGACAGAGAGAGACAGAGAGACAGAGAGAGACAGAGAGACAGAGAGAGACAGAGAGAGAGAGAGAGAGATGTACAAACACAAACGTGCACAAACACACAGATGTGTACACACACATACACACACAGATGTACACACACACAGACAGACGTGTACAAGCACACGAACAAACTGACGCCGTCCTGTGCACGTGTGTTTGTTGACAGCATTTACACTCGTCCACGCGAAAGCTCTTTGCGCCGCCCTGTGGCCATTTTCTCCACAACAGCTGCTACCGTATGCTCCTCTCAACCACGTGAGTGCACACGCGCGTGTATGTGCACGTGTGATGGTCTATGTGTCTGAGTGAGTGTGTGAGTGTGTGTATCTGTGTCTGTGTGTGTGTTTTCTTTTATCTTGCCCGTGTCCTGTCAATGCTAGTACTCACGTGCCCTTGGCGCACATGTGCGTGTATGTGGTGTTGCTTCAGGTCCAAGTGCCCCGTGTGCACGCAGTCGTTTCTCGACCTCTCCTCCAAATACAAACATCTGGAGGAGCAAATTCAACAAACGCCCATGGTATGTATGTGTGTGTGTGTATGTATGTGTGTGTGTGTGTGTGTGTGGAAGTGATTTCTCTTCTGCCTTTGCTGTTGTTTGGAATGATTTGCGACACGATGCTCCAACGACGTGTGTCATGTCATGCACATTGCACATCACATACACGCACACACATCCTCACCCCCTTTATTGGTGTGTGTGTGTGTGCGCGCGTGCGTGGTGACAGCCGCCACAGTACAAGAACACATATGTACACATCCGCTGCCGCGACTGCTCTCGATCCTCGTACGCAAAATTCCACTCCCTCGGACACAAGGTCTGCTGCTGCTGCTGCTGCTGCTGCTGTATGTGCTCTGTGTGTGTGTGTACGCGTGTTATTCGATGTCCGTCTCTTCGTGCTTGTCTACTCACACATACATACACCACACAACAACTTAAACAACAACAACTTAAACAACAACCCATCACACCAGTGCAAGTACTGTATGTCGTACGACACTGCGCAGATGGGCGAGCCCGTGCAGGGCCCACCGCCCGACGATGATGATGATGACGACCACATCCGCCTTCATCACAGCAGCCACAATAGTCACACCAGTCACGGCAGCCATGGCACCAGTCACACCAGTCACACCAGTCACACCAGTCATGCCAGCCATCACACCAGTCACGGCAGCCACGATGGCGGTGCTGCTCTGCAGCATCCACCTGTGGTGCGTCCACCTACATGTGTGTGTGTTGTGTGTGTGTGTGTGTGTGTGTGTGTGTGTGTGGTTCCTTCGTGTTCTCTCTCCCCCTTCCCCAACAAAGCACTGCAGTCATTCACGTTTTGTGTGTGCGTGTGCGTGTGCATGTGTGTGTGTGTGCGTGTGTGTTTGTGCATAGGAGCAGAACGTTGCGCAGCAGCTTGAGCAGGCGCGTGCGCGTGTGCGGGACCTGGAGCTGCGGCGCCGCACGGCTGCAGGCACCAATGATCCCTTGGCCGAGGGTGATGGTGATGGTAACGGTGAGGGTGATGGCGGTGGTAGCGGTGCTGATCACGGTGGCGGTCAACACGAGGACTCATAGCGAAACCAGCACAACCCTTGCGCTTTTGTTGTTCTGACATGCGAGGGTTGCTGCTACTGCAGCTGTTGCAACTGATTTGGTTGTTCTCTTTGCATGTTTGGTTGTTCCATTCTCACGCTCCCACCTGTACACTTGATCTGGGTGTTGTGTTGTTGAAATGTCATGACATTCCCCTTTTCTTTTTCCTTTTTTTCCCTGTGTTGCAGCCGTTGCTGCATGCTGTGAATGCTGTGCGCTGTTCTTTTTTTTTTTTCTTTCTTTCTTTCTTTTCTTGCTCCGTCTGCAACGTCCTTGCTCGCTTCAGATTCTCTTCTCCTTGTCCCCCCTCTCCCCACTACGCACTGTGCACTCTCCCACTCCACTTTGATACTTCGATACTTTGCACTCGCACGTTGTTGTGTGTTTCGTCTTCCTCTTCTTCCGTTTCAGGCATTCAGGCAGACAGACAAAGAGAGAGAGAGAGACAGGCAGATGGGTAGTTGCCTCTCAACGCCCAACCACTGCGCTACTTCTAACATAAACGAAGCCCATCAGCGAGCAAGGAACCAAGCAAAGAAGGCACGTCAGTGGTTGCAGATGTGGTGGGAGGCAAGCTGCCACACACACACACACACACACACACACACACACACACACACACACACACACACACACACACACACACACACAAGCACTGTATGTGGAAAATTGGTGAATGATTTGTGGATATTTTCTACATCCAACACCTGAACGAACAACCACGATGCAGGCAGCACGACGACTGTTGGCAGGTGCGCAGTGGTGTGAGATGTTGATTGTGTTGTTGCAGTTGGTGTTGGTTGTGTGTTGACTGTGCTGTGTATTGTGGTGTAAACTCAAATCAGTACAAGGGTGAGGAGGCGCGCGCCTTGCGCGCAACAAGAGGAAGCACACCACGCATAGTATTGGCTCTGCTGCTGAGACACCAAGCTCACCCAACGCATGTGCACTGATGAACATGTCCTTTTGCCACACATACCCTTGCTTGCTTCGTTCTCGCTTCATCAAATCAAGGCGGCCGACGCTTTGCGTCCACCCATGTTGCTGAGAGCGCTGGCAAGCACGACGAGTCCAGCTTCCTCACCTACAAGTTTGGCTCCCTCCTCGCGCTGCCTCTCCTCAGCTACATGTTCTACAAGCAAGTCATTGGTACGCCACTCACCCCATTGTTTGCTGTGCACTGGTGGCTTGAATGGCGGTTGAGTGGTGTGTTGACGATTGTGTCTTGC